ATCTGTTTTGCATGCTTCCCTGAGATGTGTGTCTGGCATGCATGGCTTCCCTGAGATGTGTGTCTGGCATGCATGGCTTCCCTGAGATGTGTGTCTGGCATGCATGGCTTCCCTGAGATGTGTGTCTGGCATGCATGGCTTCCCTGAGATGTGTGTCTGGCATGCATGGCTTCCCTGAGATGTGTGTCTACCTTGCATGCTTCCCTGAAATGCGTGTCTGGCATGCATGCTTCCCTGAGATGTGTGTCTGGCACGCATGCTTCTCTGAGATGTGTGTCTGGCATGCATGGCTTTCCTGAGATGTGTGTCTGGCATGAATGCTTCCCTGAAATGTGTGTCTGGCATGCATGCTTCCCTGAAATGTGTGTCTGGCATGCATGCTTCCCTGAGATGTGTGTCTGGCACGCATGCTTCTCTGAGATGTGTGTCTGGCATGCATGGCTTCCCTGAGATGTGTGTCTGGCATGAATGCTTCCCTGAAATGTGTGTCTGGCATGCATGCTTCCCTGAAATGTGTGTCTGGCATGCATGCTTCCCTGAAATGTGTGTCTGGCATGCATGCTTCCCTGAGATGTGTGTCTGGCACAAAAATGGAATTAATTTTTCCACAATTGAATATAATTTTTAGTCGGACAATGTTTTATGCAAATGCTTTAACCAGAAACCCACATACAAATGTATTAAATATTGAAAGTATATTTGCTGACTGTATATTCACTAGCTGATGAAAACAACATGTTGCTATTGGTCAATATGATGTTTGAATGACACACACAGAGCACTTTGGAAAGGTGAATTAAGTCGCTAAATGTAAAATGCACAAACATAAATTATTTTTTTATATCTCCCTAATTTTGACTGCATGTACCATCAGGAAAATCAGGATAAGTGTTCTCTCCGGGAAAATAGCATACATACATGTAGAGTATCAACTAATTTGCATAACACTTATGTTAATCACCCAATTATTGTTAAATTTGATGTATTGCTTATCAAAAATAGAGTTAGGACTCCCGAGTCCCATCCCATGATTTCTCGGGAGAACCCTGATGATTTTTAAGATAAGGATATGTGAGTGGTGTGTTATGTGATCTCAAGTAAATTGAAAAATAATCGCATGGATAGCGAGGCAGTGTTCTCCACAATTCAAAATAGCTGGTGGGTGGTCTAATTAGCATAAATTTTGCATATTAATTTGCATATCATTTACATACAACATTCTAGCATTTATTTCATGAACTGCAAGTTACAAACAGATTGGTTAATATCAATATTTACAAAATGCAAGGTTTGAAATCAGTGATTTATACGTTCTCAAATCATTTTGTGTTCATGAAATGTAATGTGATAGAGTAACGAAGAGCAAGTACAAAACATAATTGAGTTATAATGTAGAAAATATACGAGTTAATTTGTCCCCGAAGCCAAAACTAACGATTTGTCAAAATAAAACCCATAACATTTTTATTTGTGGCATCACTACTCACCCGTGCCGACGGGCAGTACGATACATTTAGACATGTACGGTCAGCTACGACATGTTGCGTTTTCACACAGAGTCGTCTTTGAATTCAAAAAAAATGTTAGCAATCGGCAAAATAAAAGAAGCGGCTATGTCCTCAAAAGATTCAACATAAAAAAATCAATAAATTGAAAAAAGTATGTGGAAAAGATAACTAAAATATTATTCAATTACAAATACTCGCGGTAAACTAATCCAGCAGCCGTGTTTGATGTTTTTTACCGCTTTCCAAATTCAATACACGAACACCTAGAATGCGCTGTTCCCCTACATGTATGCAACTTAGATACTAAATCGTTACAGCGCCAACAGCGGTGGGTGGCCGACGGTCGCTGAATGGGGTAGACCAAAAGGTCATCATTTTGCCTTCTCTATGCTGTTTTTTTGTTTAGGCTTGGGAAGAACAATGCAAGCTTTTTACAAATAATTTCAGCTGGATGTACGTTGGTGGGCGGGTCTTGAGAGTAACTAGGCGGCCGTAAAACCTAAAACCCCTTGTGGAGAACACTATGAAGTGTTCATGCACTTTTCCAATGTAGACAAACCTTTCCAATGTGTACTGTAATGTCATTGGTTAGAAATGTGTTCGATTGATGTGTATGTAAAATTGAATTTTCATCAGCGTATCACTATACAAACACGTCAATGTTGATACCTTTATCTTATCTTGCATTGACCTCTGCTACATGTACATGCATGTACACTGATAACGGTCACAATTTTCTATTTTGTAAAATCAAAATCTTGAAATCATTAAATTTGTTTTCAGAAGCTTTAAAAAAATATATATATGACAGGGAAATCAGGGGACAATTCAGTCACAACCATGTTTATTTCTTATTGTAGTCTGCATGCTAACCCAAATAATGTGCAAGCGTAATTTTAGCCTAATTCATTGTCCAGGATTCAAGGGCAGCAAGATATCTATTTACATAACAATAGAACATAATTTACATAATATTATGTAGATTATTCAACTAATGCCTTCATTAGATAAATTCTATTGTTTTTTAAAAGTCTGGTAACTGTGTAATCATTTTTCAATGATGCCTGGGGGAAAACTGATAATTACTATTTTATATTTCAGTAAATGGTCAACCAAGACCCCTGGAAAGCGATCAAGTTAAACATTTACGTAAAGAGATTACAGATCTTCGCAATCGTCTCAATCAATTACTGGATGATTTGGAACCCCCTAGTTTACCTAGAACAGCAGGTAAAAGTTCCCCTAGCAAAGCCAAAGATGATTTAAGTGGCCCCATATTACAGTCATTTCAAGTGAACAAAATAAAAAATCAAGGTAACCTCAAAGCATTTTATTTTTCAAAATATTTTTTCTGCATGTGTCTGTTTCTGACCATAAAGAAAGCTAAATTGCACTTGCAGAGGAAATGAAAAACTGTTGCCGACTGACTTAGATTTCTTGTGTCTGCATGCATGTTTGTTCAATGGTCACTGCCATATTTTTATTTACCTTGAGAAACATGAAATGACC